GGCGCTTGAATGGCCAAGAGCTTGGAATAATAGAGAGACAGCAATATAAGAAATACAATAAATAAGAATAAAACAAAAATAAAGTGGAATGAGAAAAAATTCACAGTCCTTTACAAAGATGCACTGAACAGTTGTAACTGCTCCAAACAGTTCACACTGCTTTAAACAGTTTGTACTGCTCGAACAATTCGAATTGCTACGAACCGAGGTGTACCGAAGACAGCTATGGCGAAGAGTTTGGACTACTCCGCTTAGACCTGACCCAAGGTTGTTGTCACAAGTAAAAAAATTATATAAAATCTGACCTCTAAATAATAAATAAATGGCGCCTAACACCGTCACGCTATGTCATGAAACTAAGAATTGGCAAATGTTCGGATCGATTCGAACTATTCGAGGCAGTTCGAACTGTTCGGAACAATTCGAACTGTTCGGTACATTATCATACTGTTTGGAACAGTTTCAACTGTCCGAAGTAGTTTTGAGGTATTCGAAGCAGTTCGAACCGTCCGAATAAGTTTAAGTTGTTCAGAGTACCTCAAATGCAGGAGCAATATGAACCTTTCGGAGCAATTTCGAGCTGTTTGGAGCAGTTTGAACCGTTCGGAACAATTCGAACCATTTGGAGCAGCTCTGTTTGGAACGAAACAGTTCCCTTCGGTTCGCTTCGGATTGTTGTTATTCGGTGTTGTTCGACTCTATGACGTATGGGACAAATGCAACACAAGAATTTCGAATTCGGTACCCCATACTACATACCCGTGCAATAATAAAAACATTTTCAATGTTAAAACACCCTGTACAAATAAGTGGATTATTGCGGAACTTGTGGCTGCACCTCTGCGGGACGAGCGCAGCGAGTTCCGCAGCCATCTACTCACCAATATACTGTTGAAGTGTTCAAATAAGACACTTACCTGAAACGTGTAGTTTTTTAACTAATGAGAATAACTGACATTTGAGTGAGTCAGCTTAGTATCATACTTGAATAACATATTGATGAATAGATGGCTGCGCTCGTCCCGCAGAGGTCCACCCATAAGTTCCGCAACAATCCACTCGTTTGTACTTGAATAACTTGTCACATTATGTTACTAGTTTGGTAAAGTAACATCACTAATTCCTGATAAAAGGCAAATTGACAAAAAGTGGATAATCTTACAAATTCTGACTAAGTAGAAATAAGTGGATTATTGCAGAACTCACGGGTGGACCTCTGCGGGACGAGCGCAGCGAATTCCGCAGCCATCTACTCACTAATATACTGTTGAACTGTTCAAGTAAGGCATTCACCTGAAACGTGTAGTTTTTAAACTGATTGAGTCAGGTTAGTATCGTAATTAAACAACATATTGATGAATAGATGGCTGCGGAACTCGCTGCGCTCGTCCCGCAGAGGTCCACCCAGAAGTTCCGCAACAATCCACTCGTTTGTACTTGAATAACTTGTCACATTATGTTACTAGTTTAGTAAAGTAACATCACTTATTCCTGTTGAAAGGCAAATTGACAAAAAGTGAACAATCATAATCTTATAAATTTTGACTTTATATAATAAGTTATTATTCAAGTACAAATAAGTGGATTATTGCGGAACTTAAGGGTGGGTCTCTGAGGGACGAGCGCAGCGAGTTCCGCAGCCATCTACTTACCAATATACTGTTCAACTATTCAACTAAGACACATTAATGATTATTCAAGAACTGTACATAGGAAACTGTATGATTAAATTTAATAGACCAATGCAAAAAATAATGGAAGTATGTACAAAGATTTCCATTCATGGAAGTATTCCTTATCACCTTGGAACAAAGAAAATCTGCTTTGGTTACTATGAGAACGCCAGCAACCTCTTCAGTTTGTACATTGTCATAGTTGTGATTGCTCAGTATGTTTGTGGATGTATGGTGTATTCAGAACACAATTTTGGGCTTCTTTAAGAAAAATCGTGAATTTCAGGAAGAGGGTTCAGGTATCAATATCCAGGCAAGGTGAATCCCAAATAGAAGATTATCAGTCTTCCCGTTTAGTTTGTCTCAGTATCAGTAAGAGTATCAATCCCAGGCAGAGAATTTACGTATCATCATCAGGTAACGAGAGTCCCAGATAAAGAATTTACGTCAGTTTCAAAGTATCAGTTTAATAGCCACAGATCAATGTCTCAGAGAAACAGTTATCAGTAGCGAGGATCGGGGTGACTATAAGGGAAGGAAGGAGGCCACATCATTTCTTCTATACGTCTTAGAACAAGATTTAAATTTTGATAATGCTCTTCCTCTGATTGGCCCGATACTAAAATGTCATCGATATATGCCGTGGTTCCTTTCAGACTCAATAATCTGGTATCCATAACTTGTTGAAAAATGGCAGGGGAATTTTTTATACCAAATGGCATTCTATTGTATTGAAACAATCCATGATGAGTGTTTATTGTTGCATCTTATTTTATATGGAGATTAACTTTGGTTTTTTCACAGTGACCTAATATTTCTGCCCCATTACATTTATCCCATTTCAGCTCCATCTCAATTATGGTTACCACAGGGGAAACAGGGCCTCATCTCAGTCATAAATAAAGTGTCTTTCGACTCTTTCGTGACAAATGCTGTTAGTTCTTCTGGCTTTAAAAATCGAGACTTGTTCTCATTTTCAGGAAATTTGGATTTTGTTCCAGCTCCTACAACATACCTGTTTTGCCCGCTTATTGTTTTCAGCGCTTGAAGACTGGACCTTTGTAAAAAAATATCGAAATTTATATTGATTTAGCTTAGGTATTTTGTATTTTCCAGTATTTCATAACTAAACTTTTACTAGCAGATGAAATGGAATACGCCGGATTCTCTTGTAAACTCCTTTAAGAGAAAAATAAAGAAATTGAGTTAAAATTTTACCTTGGAAACATAAAGACATCAAGCTCTTCATTTTCATTCCCCTACGATTAGCCGTTTTCCTCTATAAAGTTTTTGAGTATTTTAGTTGATTAAATACATTTACAAAAGTATTTTCAGTTGATGTTTGACGGTTTCTGTATGTCCGCGGTATCCTTGTTTTGCTAAAGGCTAGTTTTTATTATACTTATTCAAGGAGAATTGTAAAATATGCAATTTTTCTTATTCCATAACTCTCTATTCATAGAAATTCAAAATTTACAAGAAAGCGAAAACTCAAGAGCCGGGAAAAAAAGATCTTAGAATTTTCTGCATTTGAAAAAAAAAAGTATCATTGTTCTGACACTTCACTGGCTCACCCTGTATACACGAAGCCAACATTTTCTCTATTCAATATTCAATATTTTTAATCCCGTTAATAAGTCAAAGATTTTTCATAGAGACTCTGGCCCCTTGTTTTGACGTCACGTACAAAAAAACCTATAATTACTAGATATGCGTCAATAATAACATACTTAATTTTAAAGAATCATTAAAAAGTTATTAAAAACACGATAGCTAGATACCCATAAAACAAAAATAGACTAATTTGTGATTGTAGAATTTTACTTAAACACTTAAAGCCGGGACCAGACTATGTAACAAGACATGTTAATAACAAAGTTTTATAACAAATTTGTTGTAGGTCCAACTCTGTTACCGACCTCTGATGGATAACATAAAACATTCTATATAACCAGCAAAATGTTGTACAACACTGTCCTTTTTATTTAAAATTCACTAACAATTGTTATTTTACATATTTTGTTACATAGTCTGGCTGAAACTAGGTTATTAGGTATTAGGTATTGAACTTGTATGTAACAAAAATATATAGGTAGGTATGCACCAAAATAGTATTTTATGGAGCAAACTAATAGGTGTAGTTCCCACTCGTTAAATTTGTTTGTAAAATGTAAATTTCCCCCTAATTAAAAATAGCTCTTTAAGAATAGAAAATGAACAACCTGAGTAAAATAAATCAAATCTTAATTGACCCAGAAAAAAGTAAAAAGAACAGCAGCTGTTGAATAATTTATGCCGCCCCGTTCACTGATTTTAATCAAGTGAAAAACGTCTTTTGACAAAATTAGTCTTTTGCAACGAAGCCTTTTGAAATAAATACATTGAGAACAAAGAATACCGTAATACCGTAATGGCCTGTAATTAAAATCCTAGATACTCCTCCCATAAACTAAGTTCATACACTCAAAACCATTTCACCCATCGCGGGTACCAGAGTTTTGTTTACATTTCAATATCCAGATGTCGAAAATATGAATGATTGTTTACACGGTAGGACGCGTGTGTTTAGAACTATAAAGCCGGAAATGAAGTTCTTATAAACGTCGCTTTAAAACGTGGAATATTCGTTGCCAGATTTAAAAATCCAAACCCACATTTACTGGGATTTATTCAACCACAAATTTAAAATAATTGCGGTCCTCCAATGCCAACCCAATTACCTATAGGGGAAATGGGTGGAAAAATCATTTAACTTCGAGGCGTGTCAATTCGGAAGCCAATCCACTTATCAAACAAATTGGAACCGGTAAACAATTCGATTTGGAATTTAATTGGAGTTTTATTCTAAAATAGAGAATTCTTTACCTATATTTTTAGGTTTATGGTTTATTAATTTTTCTTTAATAGAAAAAAGACAGCCAATAAAGTACCCATTATAAATTGCAGTTTTGAAAACATGTGTACTAAGTGATGAAGCAGATGCTGAACAAGTATCAATTGACAAATTGGTCCGGTTAAAAACTGGTTAAATGACATTGACCAAAAAGCTAATATTCGACACCTTTTTGGGTTGAATTATTCTACGAACCGCCATAAGCTCATAAGTAATCCTATTACAAAACCAATTCCAAAATTTTGCACGGTTTTACTTAAAATTAACCAGTCAGTCAAGCAGTCAGTCAGCCGTGAATTCTAATTTTGGTGTTTCGGTTTTATTATTATTGTAAACCAATTATTCAAGGATTTTAATTAACAACTGAAAACAGAGCATGTTATTATTACCTAATTATGTGTCTTGCATTTTCTACTAATCTATTATAGACTTACCAGCTTCGAAATTTTCTTTGAGCCTACGCCACTGTTTGGCCTGGTGCAACGAGTACAGGGTGATCACAAGAAAAAACAGGATGCACGCAAAAACTGCCGACGTCAGAGCTACCGCCTGCCAATCCCAGAATAGCGTTTCTGCGCCGGAGAAGGGCGCCTCTGAGCTGGCGACTTCCAGCGCCGAAGGCGATGGGGCGTCCGACTTGACATCGTCCCCATACCTGAAAATAAAAACATTTAGCTATACAGGGTGTTACAACACATTAACTTTGTTTCCTAACACTAAGAAATTTTCAAAACATTATCACAGACCTTGAAAAAAAAATAATTGTCCAAATCCCAATAGGCTGTGTAAGTAAGTAATCTTTCATTTCAATTAATTAGGTATGTTTATGTCATGTTTTATTTAATTTGTTCCATGATTACATAATTATTATTGCTAACGGAAGCAATAACTAAACTGCTGGAGATTAATGCGCGGGTATAGTAAAAATCGCTGGATAAAATCATTTATTTATTTCATTCTTGTGTTCGACAAATGAATAATTTCCTTTTCAAGAATATTCGAAATGAAATACTCGAGAAAATGTTCCTTTTCTTCATGTAAGTATATATTTTCAGAGTTAATAATAATATGTTCTGCAACAAGATGCACAATAATTTACAATGCACCTGATGCAAAAAAATATGAATCAACTATAATTCTACAACTTCCGACTAGAAAAATAACATGGAACTCTTAATGCATAAAACAGAGATAAAAAAAACAAGGATGACAGTCTTCAACTATACGTGCGGCTAGCCGCTCTTCGAGACTATGGTCGCTGAACGCCAATAGTGGTTCGATATGTTTCCAGCATTTCTATTGGACGTTCAAATCCGCGTCCATTTGAATGCTAGATTTCAGTGAAGCATGTGAGAGTCTGGCCTCCAGTCGACCTCTAATGTCAGAATAATTGCAGGATAGGGATTCTGACAAAGTGGCCTCATGTCGGGTACCCACAATTTTTTTCTGGTCAAAATTGAAGTTTCATTTTTCATTTTTTTTCCAGCCTTAAGATGCGCCGTAGCGAGGAGAGTCAAATTAACTTTTAGGCGTATTTTTTGCTTCTCTTTATAATGTTTTTTTTTTCGGAATTCAATTTTTTTTTTTTTTTTTTAAAAGCAATCTACCAATATATTTTTTTAATTTTCAAAGCGACCTAACTCGAAAACAAAAAGCTCGGGAGAAAAATTTCAAATACAAAACTTTTAGATCACATCAAATACTACAAAAAAGCCTATAAGAAGTATCCCTCCACAGGGCACCGTTTTCGAGAAAATCGACCTCGAAAATTTTAACACAATTACAAAGAATTTCATCTTTGACGGCTGATATCCCAAAGATGAAAACGGCCTAGAATCTCAATAAAAAAACCTTTTGTAGGTAATTTTATCCTATTTCAAAAGATATATGACTCGAAACGATCGGTTAAGAAATAGTAGAGCTATAAGCGAAAAACTGGCCTCGTGTCGGGTACCCACATTGGGCACTTTCCAAATTTCACCGATAAATTGACCGGTTAAATAAACCGGTAGCTATCAAAAAATTCCGGTAAAAGTTAGGTGTAAGTCCGGTTACAAGATTTTTCTGATGCATTTTGGAACGCTTTGGTGGGTTAAAGTTTGGTTATGACGGTTGTGTTGCGACAATTTAACGAACGACTGCCGATAATGCCCATTCAAAGCAATTGATGTACGTCAAAAAAAAAGTGTCAAAAAATCTCCAACCGAAAAATCCGACAAAAATTCCCGGTGGATCCGGTGCCTCACCGGTCTCAAACAGCTGATCATTCCGGTCAATTTTGGAACGGATGATCTGGTTCAACCGGTAAAAAGTTGATACATTTTGGAATGGTTTGGTGAGTGAACTATTAAACCGGTACCGCACCGGTTCAGAAACCGGTGAATTTTGGAAAGTGCCCATTCTGATCAAAATAGAAATTTCCTCTTTTATTTTTTTTCGACCTTAAGATGTGCCGTAGCGAGGAGGGTCAAATTAACTTTTAGGCGTATTTTTTGCTCCTCTATCCGATGGTATTTCTTTTTTCGGAAATTCGGAAAAAAAATTTCAAAATCGAGAAAGATGGGGAGACTAACTTTTTTCCGGTACATCGGAAAGAACTGAAACTCGGAATATCGACTAAAAATCACATTTTGAATATTCCCGATTTTTGATTGGCTCCAAATTATCCACTGACCAATAGAATTATAGACTGGGCCCCGTGATTAAAATAGCTTTAGCCCTTCGGGCTCGCGTATAACTCCGGCCCTTCGGGCTCGCGTATAACTCCGGCCCTTCGGGCTCGCGTATAACTCCGGCTCTTCGGGCTCGCGTATAACTCCGGCCCTTCGGGCTCGCGTATAACTCCGGCCCTTCGGGCTCGCGTATAACTCCGGCCCTTCGGGCTCGCGTATAACTCCGGCCCTTCGGGCCGGAGTTCCCTTTAGGCTCGTATTATTGAATATCCCAGATTCACAGATACAAGTTTTCATGAAAGTTTGGTGTCGTCGGTCTCGTAGAAATCACTATTCTTCAAGAACTCGTGACTATAACGGTGATAACGTGAAGCGAAAAAGTACCTCTATGGATGATATGGAGGAGCGGGCCCTCTTTTTTGCGGGCATTGATCCACGGGTAAAGGACAAACATAGACGACAAAGCTTAAGAGCGGATCTTTTGAAAAAACCGTCAGCTGTAAATGTCCCGGGCTCCAGATTTGATGAAGATTATGCAGATACTCTTTTGATCAACGAGTCCAAAAATGCTGTTGAAAATTGGATAAAAGCTGCCATCTTGCTAACCGATTGACAGGGAAAGATTTGAAGTTAGGTTCTGGAATCCATGGTCAAAAAATAACCAGGGGTTGAAGCCCCTAAATCGCAACGGTCAATGCAAATTGGAGTTATAGGTCGAGAGTTGACAATTGCTTCGATCTGTGTAAAGACCGTATAGAGTTTTTCCTAGGTAAGAAGCTCTTTTTCAAGAGCTCGGATAAAATGTGACCTGACAGACTTGATTCTTCACGGACAGTGATTGAGACATCATCTCACCTGTCTGCCCCTGTTCTCTACGCCAGAGAAAACGATTTTTTTTAGACAGAAGTGTGGTGATTTGCTTACCCTAGCTGAACTTGGAGCGCGTGTTGGGCTGACAAAACTTTGCGTGGGTCCCCTCACTATCAGGATCGCTTTAGACGGCCAGTGGACGAGCCCCCCTAATATTGTTGGTGCGAGCTGCTTACGAGCACGAAGAAAGAAACGATTAAATCCTCCGGGCGCAAAATAGGGTTTTCAGAAAATCCAGTTTGTCGTAAGAGAAACCTGGATTGGAGGTTGGTGTCCTAGGGGAGTACTTTGCATCAAACAAAAATACTCGACAAAAGTCCTTTTCAGGATAATTGCCAGGAAGTAAAAATGTTTCCCAAAGCCCACCAAAATTGGGAGCAGAAGGAGCGTTGAAGTGCCAGCTGATGGGTTTCTTAGCAGCTGCTTCAGAAGCATATTTGATTAGAACAAAATTCTTAGTGCCACAATCGGAATAAATGTGCTGTACCTGTACTATCAGGTGTATATGAATAGGTATGCAACATTCTCACGTAGGCCTAACTTAATAGTTATTTATGTATCAAAGGAATTATGAAGGTATTAATACCCCAGGGCAAAGTTTGTGTCCCGAGGACCAGGAAAATATAAAATCTTTGTTACGATCATAATCATTTGATGACTCTCTAAGATCAAATCTATTCCTAATGACTAAGTTACCACTTTCATCAAAAACCTTACAAGAGAAGATATTCTCAGACAACTCCATAATTTTACCTGGTTTCCATGTCTTGTTTATATGATTGAAAACTTTTGATTCGGAACTGGAAGAGTCCAATGTGCATAAAACGTAATAGGTATTTTGGAGCTTAAGTGTCGTTAACCACCCTCGAATATTGAACACTCTCGGGCGGTGAATGACAAAGTTACTTAATATTTCTCATTCTATGTAGTTAATTTAATGCCTCATTATTAAAAGGTTTGTTCCTAGACAATTTATTGCAATCTAACTCCTCAATAGATAATCCTTCCAAAGACTTCACTCGACTCAGAGCCACGTATGGCTTGTCCTTCCTCAAACAATTTCGAGATTAAATACACAAACGAAATCTTGAGTTGGGTGGGAGATCCATGATTGAATTCCAATAAATTGACGAAGTTCCTATTTGTTTTGATTAGGTGCTAGATTTCAAGTCTTGATCAATAAGAAATTCACAGTTATGAACTCATCCCCTTCACAACCCTCACCCACCACCTCCTACCCCTATTTTTTTTTCATCTAATTGTATTATCACCAGATTAAATCATAAATTTGAAAACCGCATGTTCGTATCTGTTTTTGTTTGTAGTATAGGTGGCATAGGGACTTATCATATTACAGGTTCCAAAGTTATGAATTTGTCTCCTTTACACCCCCCTCAGCCACCCACTACCACCTTTTTTGTTTCAAAAAATTGTATTGTAACCAGATCAAATCATAAATCTGAAAACCGCATGTTCGTATCTGTTTTGGCTCCAAAATTAGGTATGAATTTTTCCCCTTTACTTTTACACCCTCTTAACCACTAATCCCAAGTACATCGACCCTACTTAACTTATTCTGGTTTAAACTGGATTTTTGACATGTTAAATTTTGATGTTCTATCTAAAACATTTTTCAAAATTTTGCCATGTTTCAACTGTCTCCTCAGCAAATCATCAAAATATATCTGCACTTCCTCAAAAAGTTCAAAATTCTTCCACTGGAACACTTCAGGGGCAGAACTAATACCAAATGGAAGTCGACAAAATTGGTAGCCACCGAAAGGTATATATGCCAAAAGTATAATATTCAGATGATTGATTATCAATTTTGACTTGAAAGCAGTCACCTTTCATATCTAATACAGAAAAAAAAAGACTTTACGATTCAGTTTTCTAGCAATTTCGTCGACTGTTAGAATTAAAAAATGCTCACGCTGTATGTATTGATTCAAAAACTTTCGGTCCATACACAATTTCAAATCAGCATATTTTTTCTCAACAATAACCAAAGGATTTAACCACTGAGTAGGTTTTTTAACTTTTCTTATAATCCCTTAAGCTCCAAGATTTTTTTAATTTATGTTTGACACGTTGGTAAAGTGCCGGAGGTATA